TCTCTTGTCCGAAGAAGCCCTGCCTTAGAGGTAGGCGACTCCTTCAGAGAAGCGGACATCCGGCTTTGCGGACCTCGCAAGATCCCAGAGCAGAAACTCCAGTCTTGCCGCAATCATATCTGAACCCCTGCCTCGTAGACAGGGGAATTGCTGCACAATCGCATCCAGCTATGTCAGGGCTTCATTGTGTGCTTGGTGCCTGCTAGTACATTTCTGGCTGAAGTCTCTTTTGCCATGCCCATGACAGCTGAGAGCCGGCAGGAGAGGAGAGGAAAGAAGAAGGAAAGCATGGATGAACGTCTGGATTGCCACCTCTGTACCCTAAACCCGACCACTGTGTGTCAGGGTTACCTAAACCCTTGTCGCTGTTACAAGTTTCTTGTTGTGGTTTTAACTATGCTTCCATATAATACATACATATATATATATATATACACACTGTGATTTATTCGGATTTTGTATCGATTGTATGCACATACATACTCGACTGTGTAGAAAAACATGCTTTGCAGTAGCTACCACAGCGAGAGAGCGAGAGAGAGAGAGAGAGAGGAAGACAGAGAGAGAGAGAGAGCAAGAGTACACAAGTGTATACATCGCACCGATCAGGCCGAAAATACTCAGGTTCTTGCGTTTGAAACCTCAATCCGCGAATCGCTTACAAAAACATGTACTTATGCATTCAACCGGAACACGCCTCGACGGCCCACCTCGACAGAAGCGTGGACACCACTGCAAGTGCTTCCTGGATGCGAAAATAGCGAACGGCAAGTCGGTATGGAACTTGTCGAAGATCAAGCTTGCTGATTCCCTTTGAAAGCTTCATGCGTGCTAGCAATGGAGACTGTCGGTGCAGAAGCTGAACTAAATCATCAAACCCATCACTTGCACGGCACACTCCTCGAGCAGTGCCAGCGTCGGACACCCTGGAGTGAGGGGCACACACGTCAACTTGATATGGGTAGCAGACATCTCGAGGTGGAGGCGATGCGGGGAAGAAGACTCACACTCTCAGAGCCTAACAAGAGGCAGAAATGGCCCGCAAGCTTGATCTCTGTAGGACTCAAGCTGAGATGTCTCTTTTCTGGTCTCGCAGCTTCAACCGAAACAAGTAGATTCCTGGAGCAAGCCACCCACGCTTGACCGAACAGCGATTACCGTCTCTATGCTGACATCTGCAGGCTCTCTCTGGCTGGGGACGGCTGGGGTGCGCGCGGTCCGAAGGAGAAGCCCCGGTAGTGCCTGGAGTGGCTCCGAGGAACCGGAAACTTCAGAAAGCCGTTCACGTCTCTCCGTAAGCCCAATCCTGCACACCGACACAGTACCAGTGTAAAAAAAAGGAACCGTCCAGGCGCCTTCATTTGATGAGCCTGCGGCAGCACAGCTGCCACAGGCTGCCACGTTCCCATACGTTCCCCATCCCCACTCCCAAGCGGTTTCTAGCCTCGAAACATCTGAATCTACTTGCCGTTCCGACCGCAGCTACACGTCGACCTGAACATCTGAAGACCGGACCCACGAGCTCGAGGAGATTAGGAGGACTCTACCCGATGGCCGTGCAAACGCCCTGTTACGGGAGAAACGGCCGCCGAGGCTCCGGTGCATCCCGGGACTTCCACAGCTGGAGATGCCTGCACACGAACACAGGTTTGGGGCATCGACCCCCTACTCACCTCGACAGTAAGCATCTCGTTGGTTACATCAACTTAGGGAGACCCATCGGAGGGGTCATGCATCGTCGCTTATATATTTATGCCAGCCTAAAGGCCTGCAGCCACGAAACGCAAAGCAAACCTGGCCGTGCTGCCCTTAATACCATAGAGGTCTCTTTTCTGATGCAGCTCGCCAATGCAAAGCAGCAGTTGTCTTTATCTTGACGAAAGCGGTGGAGGAGCAAGGGAAGCGATGTGCAGGACGGGACAGCCTTTAGCTAACAACATACACACAAATACGCACACAAACAAACAAACACACAAACTATCCAAGCAAGCAAACAGACATACAAGCAAACGAACGAACGAACGAACGAAAGACCGACCGACCGACCGACCAACAAACCAACCTATCAACCGGCCAAACAAACAAACAAACAAACAAACAAACAAACAAACAAACGAGCAAGCAAGCAAGCAAGCAAACAAACACAGACACGCAGACACAGAGAGAGAGAGAGTAGGGGTCAGCCATCGCATGAGAAACATCTGCTGGGACCCTGGTGCTTATTGAACCCTGCCGACGTCAATGTGCGGTCGGCCTGTCTTTCATCCTTGTCACGCAGTAGATCCAACACCGATTGGAGTGCCTTCGTTCGTGCAGGGCGCTGGCTGTGATTTAGAAAAGTTATTCGGTCCCTTCACCATGAGCTGTCCGTGCCTGCTTAAGCCGAATGGCTCCATGACTGTAAAGCCTGACCCTAGCATTGCCATTGTGATGCTCGAAGAAAGGCCATGTCCATACCCATCCATGGCTAGCAGCGTCGATGTTTTCGACGTGGCTTTGGAGATTGCGCTTGTGCTGTCAGTGAGGCAAAAAGGATACTCCACGGTGGGGCCCCAAAGTACATGACCAAAAGTGCCGGCCTCTGTCCAAGCAACCTCTGGTCTCCCAACACGCTGAACTTTCACCACATCGGAGCGCCTTCGTCGGCAAACGAGAGGCATTGCCTCCGAAGCGTCTTTGCCTCGATGGATAGAGCAAGTCTGTCTATCTGGGGGTTGGGTTCTTACTTCTATTGGTTCTTCGCGTCGACTTCCACAGGACTGGGATACTCCGACTGAAGTGGCACGGCTCTTTTTGCTTGCACACCACTTCGCCAGCACGAGTCGGATCCCAAACCCTCTGTGCGATATTGTGCCATGGCCGGAGCAGACCCTCCAAGGTCCTTTCACCGGCTTCAACTGCTGCTGTGTTTGCTGGTTGCTTCCTTCGAGTGAGAGAAACGTCCGCGACTGTCAATAGTCGTTGAAGGGCTTCAGGTCGAACGGATCACCGGAAATCCAATTCGAAAGCCTCAGCACGCGCAATCTATTCCGCAGTTCTTACACCGGTCTCGGCCAAGTTCTACCCATGTGTTGGTGCTGGTTCCCCGCACACACAGAGCCAGAGTGCAGCAAGAAAAGCTCGTCTCGGCATCTTTCACGGTAAAAGACCGCCCCAGTCGGCCTCAGGTCCCCTCGCTGCCATAAGACACTCTCCCTTGCTCGAGAAAGGACTTCCGCACCAGAAGAACACAACCCGAAAAAACCCACAACACTCAAAGAAGCGCCACACAGCCGGGCTCGTCTGTAAGGCTTGGAAATCTGAGTCGAAGTGGTGGGGCTGCTTCCCCTGTCCACCTCCTAACTCCTAAGCCAAGCAACTCCTGCGTTGAACGAGGACTCACAGGCGACAGCAGCCTGACAGAACTTTCCCGGATCTTTATTCAGGCCTATGGGGTGCAAGGGATATGTGGGCAGGGCTGCGGCCCTTGCATGCTGCACTGCAACTCAACATTCACTCTGAGTCAGCAAATCCGAGAATACTGATTCCCAAATTCTGGACCCTGTCGCGACAAACTCATCTGCCAGCTCATCAATCTTCTTCAAACTTCTGAAGGCAAGTAACAAATGCATGGGATCAGCTCAGCCGGTGGAAACCCGAATTCTCGCAAGGGGCAGGAACTCGGGAAATGTATGCAATGTCACGTCCGCGGCAAGCCTCTCACCGCAGAAACGTGAAAATGAGAAGGCTCTCAGCAACGTGGAAGCACCCCCAACCCCTAACACTTCCACCCCGGATACTACGTGCCAGCTTGCGAGCAGATTGAAAAGGATGAGACAACCCGGACAGAGTGAAACAAATACCCAGGCAGCCCGAATCAAGCATCCCAGCAACCCAACCAGCGCAGGTCCCTGGGATGTCGAAAGTAAACCTGAAACTCAATTCATGAAGCTGCCTCAGCGCTTCCCTCATGGGCGGCGGGAGGGGTAGGCGGCACTCGTTCACCTGACAAAGAGCTGCAGATCGGCGTCTGCCAACATTCCCGGCACCAAGCCTTGAATCTTGCATCCTGCTCTACAGCATAGCATCATCGTACGACACTGCTTATGCCAACAAGTCGAAGAAGTTTGGCTATCTTGGTTCGAACTCTATAGTGGCTTCAGACACAAACTCGAAATACAACAACCTGTACAGTTTGGCATCGTTTGGGGCAGGAGAGGAACCCTACACTCTACATAACAGTGACTATAGGGAAACCTCGGTTCCGACAGTTGCCGTGGCAGTGCATACCCAAGGCCCAAGGCAGCGGTGATCTTCCACACGCGGACTGTGAAGTATAGAACACAAGAACTGCAACTGCTGACCTCCAACGGGGTATCTCGCCGGTGATGCGACGGGGCCCAGAATGTCAGACGATAGCGGTGGAGAAAGGTGCCTTGCTACGCTCAGAGGCTGCACAACAGTTGAGATTCCACCTGCTTGTTTGGTTATTTTTATCCTCCCATTGATGCTGTCCTGTTCCGCAACTCCACCTATCCAGGACCAATGCAACACGTTGGCAGCTGACTACGACCAAGAGCTGCAGCGCAGTTATGCATGTTCAGAATTCTCGAGCTGACGGACATGGTTGAAACTTGTTGAAACTGTGATGATGGAGGTTGTTGAGGTCTATCCGGCCTGGTCCGGAAGGTTGAGAAGCGGAGTATTTTGCAATGCCTTGTTGCTTGCAACTGCCAGGGCCCAAGAAAGATCCCGAGTTCTTGACTGACCCAAGTGGCTTGGACACCACAGCAAGTCCTCCGAGCATGTCGAGTGACCTCAGGTCTGGCTCATGGCTTGCAGGACTCCGTTCATTAGCTGTAAGGTTGTAGAGGCTCGGTTCTTGCAGTCGGACCCACCTCATGCTTTGCCGGCCTTTATAGAAGGGCTCGTCAGAGCACAGGTTTCATGCAGGCCTCTTTAAGGAAGCCAAGTGTCGAATCCTAACAGGCAGGATGATGCTCCATGGAAGTTACAAAGAACAAGGCTGAACCTCCTATCTCCACGTTGAAGTACGTTGATAAGTTCACCCTAAGTGCAGTGATGAAAACTTGTCTCAACAACCCCTACTGGCCCTACTGAATGGTCTTGCATCTGGACTCCGTGGATGACAGCCAGAAACTGTGCAACAGTCAACGCCGTTCGGCAATATAGTGCTGCTGTTACTACTGACTCGCCTCGAAGGCACTAGCCGGCAAGGTCCGAACAAAAACTCCCAAACTTTATCTTGTGATTCAAGACCAAGTCCAAGTCAGGTGTCGACAGCTTGACAGCTAGTGAAGACTCATGGCAGAGCGTGTAAGCGCCCAACAGGAATATTTGCCATCAGCTGCCACCGGGTGCCCAATGTGTGCTGCATGGAGACGAACCTGGTGCCTCAGTCCGATGTCGAAGTTCAATTTCCACTTCCCAAGCCTGTCAAGCAATATCCTCCTCTCCGAGGCTCACTTATCACTCATGTTATGACCTAGTAGCCGTGCCTAACCGCTGCAAGAGGGAGACAGGCCAATGAAATAAGTCCCCATGAATTTCATCCCTGCCTTCTGCCGGTGCCGATGCTGACGGCTGCCATGCTCAAGAGTTTGGCACCCCACGCCATGCGAGCCAGGAGCTTGAACCTCCAGTTTTGCAGAGCACAGGCAAGTCCCCACCGGTCAGTCCCTTGTTGCGGAGTGGGCCCAAGGCACTCCACACAAGACTTCGCAGTCCGTAGTAAATTCGAATTCCGAAACAGCCTCGAAAGGCCTGTTCTCCTACGTGGTCCTACCTAACCCTCTTCATAAGAAGCACATTCGGAACTGTAGACCATGCCTCTGCCATCGGGACCTTACAAAGACATCCAATCCACCCTTGGCGAGGCTAACAGCTGCTCAAGGCCTAAATCCAATCCGGAACCTGCATTGCACCAACAGCCCACACACAGTCTGGTGCCTGGTGTCTGCAGGCTTCCCAAAAGGTGCCACCACGCCTTAACTCCAGGCCAAGCGTGTGAACAGAAAAGACGATGACCCGACCGCACAAGCTGCAGCGCTGAAAACCGTGTGAAGACTTCAATGGCAATGCTGTGCTGCCGGTTGGCTGGGGGCATCCCGGCCGCGCATGCCCCAGTGGATGCGGACGGCAACCTCTCTCTCGGATGGCAGGCTGCAGCTGCCGTGCAAGACGACAACCTCGCAAAGTATGTGGAAGAAAACTGTCCGGCCCAACAGCACGAAGCCAAGGAAACTCTGAAGCCGAGATGCATACTCTCTGGCCTCAGCGGGGCCCAGCTGAAAGCTACAGTAGGGACGTAATTGTTGTTCTTAGAACGGTAGGACGGTCAGAATTGAAAAAGTCAATCGGCTCAATGACAGCACTACTAAGCAATCGAATCCAGTGCATAGTCCGTCCGTCCCAGCTGCATTGCACTTTGCTTGGCACTCTGCATATCTGCTGGGACCTACGGAAGGCTCCGAAAACTCGACTGGGCTTCCCCGAGCGCCGCGCCAATTTGCCAGCTGCCATCTGAAGACGAAGATCCTCATGCCCACCCAACACTTTGTAGGCTTGCCCTAGCGACAAGAAGCTGCCAAATTTCGACTTGCTTGAAACACCTGCACAGAGATGGGGGTTTACAGGCGAGATCGGACATGATCGGACGACATTCAGCCCTCCCTGTGGAACGCTTGTCTAAGGCAATGGCCAGGTAGGCCTCGGATGCAAAACTGCTTGTTTCATACAAGGGCCTTCTGCTTGCATGTTGCTCTGGATTCTTCGGACACCTAAAGACAGACAAGACGACAACTCATGAAAGAGCTCAGGAGTCGGCCGCCGGGGTTTTCGCGACCAGGATAAGCCCCGAGGTAGGCACATCCTTGAAGAGCTGTGGGGTGTCAGACGGTGTCAGAAATCAAGACATTCTGGACTTCGGGCTTCCGTCTAGGTCAGTCTCGGTCTTGATCTAAGTTAGAGGGAACAGCTTCCATCCTGCCAACCCCGCCTTAAACAAGAACGAATCGTGGCATGTATATGGTTACGTCATGTATGTATGTGTACACGATTGCACACGTGTGTATGTAGATATACATATGTGTGTGTACAGACACACACACACACATATATATATATATATACAAATATATACATGTGCAGAGAGCGAGGGGTTGGGAGGTAGGTAGGTAGGTAAGGTAAGGT